GGAGAGAGGGGGAGAGAGATGGAGAGAGGGAGGGAGAGAGAGGGACCATGGACCTACCTTAAATGAAGGCAACAGGGCGTGCTATCTCCGTACCAGGTCTCACTGTGCACAAACAAGCTATCCGAGAAAACCAAAAAGACTACTCAAAGTCACGCGCAAGGTACAGTCACCATTTTGTGGAAATTTTATTAGAAACAGGCCTGGAAATTCCAAGTAGCTGTTCTCCACCATAAAGCATCTTCTCAAAACAATAACCTACTCACTTACAGAAACTACAAAAAGCACTGTAACAATCATCTTGGGCTTTTTCACAGTCAATTCATTCTTCCTTTCTGGTTCTCAGTTCTACCCACATAACTGAACTCTCACAGCTTGTTATCTCACAGCCCCTACAATGCCTTCCACAAATCTCCCAGCATGAGGTAGAAAAGATCATCAAGAGGATGAAACCCACCACCTTGGTCCTTGACCCCTTTCCTACAACTCTAGTAAGAGCAAACGCCTCTGCTTTAAGCCCTCTGATTACCACTGTAACAAACAACTCCCTGCATTCCAGCAATGTTCCAGCTGCCCATAATCAGACCACTCCTGAAATAACCCACCCTCTATCCAGATACACTTCAAATTACAGGCCCATTTCCAATCTCCCATTCTCTCTAAAGTACCGGAAAAAAGTTGATGCCACCCATCTCCAGAACCATCTCAAACAAAACAAGCTTTTTGAGAAATTCCAGTCTGGTTTTCGCTCTGCTCATAGTACTGAAACAGCCCTGGTTAGAGTCACAAACGATCTACAATTGGCAGCAGATAAAGGCTCACCTTCCCTCCTCGTACTCCTCGATCTCTCTGCTGCTTTTGATACTGTAGATCATCAAATTCTTCTAAACCGGCTGCAAAAAAAATACTGGATTCTCTGACGCTGCTCTGAACTGGACTCAATTATACCTCAGTTATAGAATGGTGTAAATTCTAACAACTTCCCGGCAACACAAAGTCACTGCGGAGTCCCTCAGGGATCAGTCCTTTAGCCCGTGCTCTTCATCATGCCCATGAAGATTCTCAGTCATCCAGGTCATATTTAAAGGTAAAAAAAGAAAAAATCTCCTGGACTTTGTTTCCAAGTTTGAAGATGTTTTTCTTCCCATCCAGGATGCTTTTTCAACTCAAAATGTCAGAAACAACGTTGAGTTAGAGGTTTTATACAGAGACATAGACAGGTAGCCTCGTGAGACCATCCTGATCTCGCGAGCTTTCAAGGTTTCACTCGCAGATCAGTCTGGAGACTCTCCGTTGAAGAAAATTTGGAGCCGTTCACCAAAAAAACGTCCAATCAGCATTGGCTTTAAGGGTTGAGG